AAGTGCTCTCTACCCATTTCCTTTTCTTTGATAATCTGGCTACCTGTCCTTTGCCCTAGACTCAGTTCTTGGATTGGATTTCCCAGAGACCCATAAAGTGAAGTCATTTCCAGAGTCATTCTGATCTGTCAGGTGTCTATAATGCTGTGTCCCTGACTAGATTTAAACCCCTTCATGGAAGATACCAAGTCAGACTGTTACCTTGCTCCCTGTAGCCTCGTCCTTGCTTGGTACATGGAAACTGCTCCAGAGTTCTATGGACAAAACAGATATACAGATAGATGGATAATAGTACATGATAAGTTGATAGTCAGTTAGTGGATGGATGGAAAGAGAAAGACTCATGGGCTACCCAATGTGTTCAGGGGCACACAGATGAGTGCCCAGGAACTGGAGAAACAGTGAGCATCCATGTACTGAGTGCCTACTACAAGTGTATGCACATTATTTCAATTTCTGAAAAGTCCTCAAAGTTAACTGTAATTCTATGAATTTTCAGAAAAGAAAATTGAGAGTCAGAAAATTAAACAATCTCAGCTCTTGGGTTTTCACATCAGAGGTTCCAAGTAAGACACAAGACTTAGTGAAAGTAAAAAAGAAGAAAGAGAAAGCCTTTCACTTTCCATGAGGCTCAATTAAAGAGAAAGAAGAGGGGTGGAAAGCACCCTCAGGGGGGAGAGAGAGGGGAAAGAAACAAGGAAATTCTTTGTGTCCCAGGTTTTACTTGGGTGGGAGGAAGATTGTTAGAAGGTCCCACTCAGATATTGCCTCTGGGCTCTGGATTGACAGATTATAGTACCTGACAACCAAAGGGCAACTCTTGGTCATTTTGGCCTGACTGACAGGTCTTCATGAAATCTAGCTTTATAGAATTTAAGGTTAGGGGGCTCCAGTCTGAATCATCCTGCTTTTCTCAGCCTGAAAATCTCTGGTGTGTGTTGTTTGTGTAGGTTTTGTTGAAGATGTCTTAGCAGGTAAGCCCTCTGAGCAAACATATCCTTGCCCTTTGTCTTTTGGCCCTCGAATTCATCTATCTTCCTCCATTTGTAGGAGGAATAGAGCTGAGACCAGGCAAAGGTCCTGATTTAGCCATCTTGTTATCAATTGCAGCCCCAATGAGGCAGGGCTGTTGATGAACCATGTTGTTCTGTATTGAGTATTTTCCTAAACTCTGACCCACTGTTCATGCCTAACTCTTGTTTAACAGTCATAGAGGGGACATTCACAACTAGGCACTAACTATGTGTGAGTAAGCTGTGTGGGACCCCAGCAAGACATCCACTCTCTTGCTCCCACTTTCTGTGCACCCAGCAAAGCTTCATGAGGACCTTTGTCCCAGGCTTGGCGTGGCCTTTGGAAACCTCCACATTCAGAAGCTGGAGAAAGTCACATAGAAGAAAGAGCATCACAATAGAGCCTTATGTAGGGTAAAACTCACTTCCCTGTATAACAGGCTCCTTAGTCAACAGCTGGAGAAAGCTCAGTGTGAGGATTTGAATCATTTGAATCATGTGACTCTGTGAACCTTTGTTCTGAGCAACTGAAGGCACCTGGCAGCTGGGTGAGTTTCACTCTCCTTCCCTTGTGCTGACCAAGCCTCTTCCACTTCCCTCCTGATAAAGAACAATGGACTTCCTAACAGACTGAGAGTTAATTCAGTGTTTCTAAAGGAGTTAAAGGTTAGATTTTTGTGTGTCACCTTTTAAAATGTGGATATTTAAAACACTTTGATACCTAAAATTTAATCACACACAATTTTTCAGAAGTACTTCTAATGGTAAAAACAAGTATATTTTTGTGTTAAACTCAATGACAAAACTTTGCAAGAAGACAAAATGTTTTATAATAGAACTTCAGATTAAATGTAACCGTCTTCCCTTGAAGTCCTCTCATTAGGACTCCTGCTTTCAGTGAGTCTCCTGTGATTGTATTCATGCTCATGACAGTAAAGTCACCTCAGTTCCAGGAGTCACTTATTTTCATTCTCTGATTCTTCGCTGTGCTCCACCCCCTGAGCAGCCTGAGACACAGCCAGGGCCATTGAAGCTCCTTCACTGGAAGCCACCAGTGTGTCTAGTACCACTTACAATGGCCATCTGAGCACACACATGCACACACTCCTATGCACACTCCATACACAAAACTGAAGTGAAACCCTCTCCAAACATTGCTTACCCTTTCCGCACCCTGATATTTGCTGTTCCTTTCTGATTCATTTACAAAATTAATGGGTCTCACAATCCGCAGAAGGATTGCTTTGCATATTTTGAAAATCAATGACAGAAATTCAAGCCTAGACTTTGGTTTTGAACAA